ATACACAAGCAAAGATCTTTTACAAGTATGGAGCAAGCGCCAGGCTTACAAAAAGCAGCTCTTAATGATTCTCAACTCATTTCTTCAATAATGAGCGCTCATACAAATGCTACATACCTCGGCAGTACTGAGAGAAATAAGACATGAAGCTTGTATTTTAATGGTGAGTGATAAACAGTAAGTGAAGAAACACTCAGACAAGAAAATGAGGTAGTAATTCCTGAAGCAGTGATGAGAGAAGGTCGTGGAGACAAGCTGTGTGGTGGGGACACAGTCCAGGCAGGAGTAGAGGACAGCACACAGTGCTAAACAGAGAACGGCCGGGCTGCTTGGCCGAGGGTGGCTGAGCAGCATGAGTACTTGCCTAGGGAAAGTGAGGGCAAACAAAATGTTAAGTCAGCAACACATGACCAGACCTGTTTATTATCAATAAAATGTATGCGAATGCCAAGTTATGTATGTCGCCATTTGTAACATTCTTGAATGGAACGTTCAGTATTGATAGACTATTACTAGTGAAACATTGAAGAAATGCTTTAGAGTTCTTTCCCACCACAAATAGTGCTAAAGGGAGAAGACAACTGGGAACTAGTTTAATAGATAGGGCTTTGTGTTGAAGGGATTGAAAGTTTGGGAAATGCTTAGAAAATGAAGGAAATACCCTATGGAGAGGGAGCACTGTCACAGTCTGTCATGCTGCGTGTCCTAGTGAAGCTTCACATAGTGAAGCATGCATGGACTGCATGCTGTGGAGGTGAAATCAGTCTGCTTGCCTGTTTCTACAGCCCGTCCTCCCCAGTGATCCTTTTCTTGGAAATTGCCTTTCAGATTTATGTCTTCCCACTACCTTCATCCTTGCTTGTGCTATGATGAGTTTTGAGCTGAAGCCAGATTTCAACTGGGCCCCATTATCATCTTCCTGACTCTATTGTGCTCCTCTTGTACACAGTTAACTTTTCAGAGCAGCTTTCCATAGTGGGTCTTAGTAAACAGGACAGCTATTAATGATGTGTGTGCTTCCTGTGGTGAGCACTTGGCTATCTCAGTGCCAAACAGTGAGTTGCTGGAGAGGACAGAGTGCCCAATGGTGTCACAACACTTGTCTGACTCACAGATGGAATCCTTTCCAAATTACCCTAAAAACCAAGAAGTGGCATAAAAGTTAAAAAGCCATGGTGTCTGCGCATTCTTCGGAAGTCATTCTTTGAGCCTCACATAATGGCCTCCTCTACAGATAAAAAGAGGTAATGCTAATTAATGTGCTGTCTTCAGCCCTAGTCATCCTGTTTTGACCAAATGCCCACAATCCTTAGGATTCCACACACTTAAAATTACCTGGAAATAACATTTATCCTTTTCAAAGCCCCAACCATAAATCAACCATAATGGAAACCCTCACTTTTATTGCAAAGCTGTGTGCTCCAACCTTTGAGTCTAAAGTGTTTACCTGGCTTTTCTGCAGCTGACTCAGTGGATTAGACCCTTTTAATGCAACTTGCATGGCAGTGTGGTCACCAAATTATATGAAGACTTTAAATTTTGTGCATGATTGATAGCATATTGCTCTCTACTTAAATCTGTTTACTTTCGTGATCAAGGCTTCAAATGTAGAAAAATGAAGGTGAAAAAGCAAGGAAAACAACTCAAGAAGTGAGTATTTGGTTCCTGGGCTGCCTCCCCAAGTTAGCAGGGAACAGGGTTTCTTCCTGCAGAGCAGCCTTGGGTGTGGGGCGTAATGAGGAGTGAGTTAACCAGGTCATATGTTCCATAGTTTTGAGAAGCCAGGGAATGCTCCTTTCTTAAAATATTCCTTCCAGTGGTGGTGGCACACACCTTTAATCCCAGCACTTGGGAGGCAGAGGCAGGCGGATCTTTGTGAGTTCGAGGCCAGCCTGGTCTACAAAGTAAGTTCCAGAACAGCCAGGGCTACACAGAGAAACTCCGTCTCCAAAAACAGAAACAAACAACAAAAGGTGTCTTATCCCAGTGTTCTCCAAAACTACTTACTGTCCATACCTGTCTTTGGACCTGTCTTTCAACCTCTCATTGCTCAGGATCCTGTATGGGCTTCCATCACTCTGTCTGTGTCTCAGAAGCCCACAGACCTCCTCCTTTCTGCTTCCAGGGCTTTTTCAAGCTAGAGTGTTATTTCACTGCTAAGTATTACTAAGCATGGGTCATACCTGCTCTTGAATATTCTCTCAGGTTAGTTTAGCTCCCCATTCTTGAAGTCACTGTTTCGCCTCTGATCTATCAGATGTTCGTGTCTCAAACATAAGATGGATAAGAAGCTGTTTCTCAGTTCACCCCACCCCACCCACCCCACTGCCTTTCTTTTTGCTTGTTTTGTTTAGTTTGACTTGGGTTTTGGTTTTTCGAGAAAAGAGCTCATATAGCCTAGGTCGGTCAAACTGCTGATCCTCCTGCCTCCACTGCCCAAGTATAGGCTATTTTAGTTGCCATTTTCATTTCTCTTAGTAGTCAAAAATGGCCAGGGGTGTGTCAACATGTCATCATTAACCAAAAAAATATGGGTGGTATCATTCTAACCAAATTATGATTCTAAATAACTGAAATGGGATCAACTAGGGAATTTCCCCTCCCCCCTCCCTTTCATTCTTGGCTGCACAACAAGTCAGAAGACAGCCAGGGGTATTGCAAGACCCTGCCTCCATCGAAAACAAAGAACTTAAAGAGTTGATCATTTTAGTGTACAAAGGAAATTAGAAATGGTTGCATAGCGATTACTTGCTTAGAAAACTTTCAATAACATCTGTTGACTTTCAAATTAAATGTATCTCCACCCATTTTTGGATGCTCTCATGTAGGAACCCATCCTACTTTGTTAACCTTCTTTCATGAATCCCCTATACATTCTTGCATGCAAGCCAAAGTCTGATCCTCCAAAATGCATCGTCCTGTTACTGTGAGTGACAGCCCAGGAGTAATGGCGTTTGAGTTCCGACTGTGGGGTTGTTGGTTGGTTTGGTTTGGTTTGGTTTCATGGGTGCCAAGGATCAAACCTCCAGGGTCTCATGTAATATAGAAGTACTCTGCCACAGAGCCAGCACCACCCCCATTATTTTAAAAACATTTTGATGCTTGTATATATTTTTACTTAATACTTGGTTTTAACATAGTTATTGACAGTGCACATTCATGGTTCAATTCTTTATTTACTGTCCAACCTGATCTTAGAGTGCCCTTGAACAGGTCACTTAAATCTCTAAGCTTCACCTATAAAATGAGAATAACTATTACAGGACTGATAAAGGTTAAAAACAAGGGCAGTGATGGCGCCACTGTGGTGATATTATGTTCCCCCAAAATATTGTGCACCCTAATAAACTTAACTGGGGTCAAAAAACAGAACAGCCACTAGATACAGAGACCAGAAAATGGTGGCACTCACACCTTTAATCCTAGCCTTCTGGAGGCAAAGATCCATCCGGATCTCTGTGAGGTCAAAGCTACACTGGAAACAGCCAGGCATGGTGACTCACGCCTTTAATCCCAGGAAGTGATGGCAGAAAGCAGAAAGGTATTTAAGGTGTGAGGACCAGGAACTAGAGCTGGTTAAGCTTTTAGGCTTCTAGCAACAGTTTAGCTGAGATCCATTTGGATGAGGACTCAGAGGCTTCCATTCTGAGGAAACAGGATCAGCTGAGGAATTGGAGAGGTGAGGTGGCTGTGGCTTGTTCTGCTTCTCTGATCTTCCAGCGTTTACCCCAATATCTGGCATCAGGCTTGTTTTTATTAATAAGAACTTTTAAGATTCGTGCTACAGCACCACACACCTTTAATCCCAGCACTCAGGAGGCAGAGGCAGGCAGATCTCCATGTGTTCAAGGCTAGCCTGGTCTACAGAGCGAGTTCCAGGACAGCTAAGACTGTTACACAGAGAAACCCTGTCTTAAAAAAATAAAAAAAGGTTAAAAACAATAATCCATATAAGACATTTAATGCTGTCACTAACATGTGATAAGCCCTTCGTACATTTCAGCTATTTACTGATGAAGTCCTTTTTCTCATTCAACTCTGCAGAATAGTTTACAAATGATGAGGGAAGTAAAATAGCACTTCCAAAGTAACAGTACAAGGGGGAAAGATGGGATTTGAAACCAGAGCTGTCCAGCTCCAGAATCCAGGGTTCCCTCCATGTTCTCAACTCTTGTTATTCTCTACCTGAAAATCTTCCTCCTTGTATCACACAGAAATAACCTTTCCAAGCTAGCTCAGGCCATGTCCTTCACCAACTCATTTTGACCACCATTAAAACATGATCTTTCCCTCAAAACGCAGCGGTTAGGGCTGGCTCGGTTGATGAAGTCCTGCTGAGTGCAGGTCCCAGCTCCCCTCTGAGAAGCCAGGCATGGTACACATCACTGAAATCCATCTTGGGAAGGTGGGTGTAGAGAGATCCCTGGGCTTTGCTAACAGTAAGCTTCAGGTTCAGTGGAAGATCTTGCCCCGAAAACGAGTTAGCATATGATTGAGTAAGACATTGGACATCAACCTCAGACTCCATGCGTGCGCGAGTGCGCACGCGCACACACACACACATACACCACCAGCAGCAGCAGCAGCAGCAGTATGTGACTGTGTGACTTCTTCATATATCGTTTTATACTGCGGTGACCTCTGTGGAAAGCCATGAGCTCTTTGACACCAGGGCAGGCTTTGCACCTGTCTCCCCTTTGGAGCCATTTCCCCTGAAGTACTTTTCACTAAGTAGATGCTTAATAACCAAAGTGAACAGAGGTTGTTCAAGTCCCAAATGGGGAATTCTGTCCAGTTCAGACCAGGAGTCATTTTCTTGATAGTGTTTCTCTATGCCAGGCCCTCTAATAGACACAGGGCTTAAAGAAAAAAGCCAAACCCCTTCTCTCAAGGATTTAGAGTTTCACTGAAGTGCTTTGAAATCCCAACTTTTTAATGGAGACAATAATCAAATGAACAAACAGATCAGTAATGGGAATGAATTGTTATTGTTTGTCCAGATACAGTCGTCTCCTCCAGCTGCTGTACGAGTTTAGACTACATGGTCACCTACCTCTTCAAGCACCTAGCAAAAGAGGGCAAGAAGCCACTTCAATGCAGGGAGTCTGTGCAGGCTGGTCAGAGACTGTTACACTTTATGCAACGAAACCCGGATGTGCTGCAGCAGGTAACTTGTTTCCCAGGAGCTGTTCTGGCCCCTGAACTTACATAAATGTTTGTCAAGATGTTCAGCAGTGACTCCCTTTGATACTTTCCCTGACAGTGCAGAGTACACTGGCTTCAGTGTTACCCGTCCATAAAAATCCCAATGCTGTTCATGGCACTGCAGAATGCAGGATAGTTCTCCTGAGGCCTGAGGAAAGTGGATCAGAACTCAGACTTCCTCTGGGGACCCTTGGGCAGCTCTCAAGTGTGCAGTAAGGACATGGCTGCTGGGGCAGTCGTGTCCGAGCTCCTGCTCCGTGCAGACACCTTGCCAGGAGCTGTCAATTCATGAAAGTGTGATTAGCAGTTGTTCCAGCGTAAGGTTACGAGTCACACGGTTCAGACCGTAGCCAGTGTTCCAAACAGTCAATTAATACGTGAGAATGCAGTAATTTGTTTTCAGTTGTGTTTTTAAAAAAAGATTTATTTTTTCATGTATTTTATGTATATGAGTGCCCTGTCTGCATGTACACCTGCATGCCAGAAGTGGGAATTGGATCTCATCATAAATGGTTGTGAGCCACCATGTGATTGCTGGGAATTGAACTCAGGACCTCTAGAAGAACAACCAGTGCTCTTAAGTGCTGAGCCATCTCTCCAGTCCCTAGTTGTGTTTTCTAACTGGCCAACACAGGCTAAGTCCAAGTTTATAATTGTTTTAAATAACTCACTTCTGCCAATCTGAGAAACAACATACATAAGAAATGAAGATATATGCCAGGAATATTCCAAAGAGATTAAAGCCATTTTACCGATAGACCATCACTATGATTGATGTTTGTACTTCCACAAAATTTGGGAAATATATGTATACCCTTTTTGGTTTTCTTTTGCTCAGGTATATCCATAATAGTCTGACATGCAAAAGTCAATACCTCACTGACTGTATTGTCATTAGTGAACAATGTCATCTGAGTCAGTAGACTGTCTCATTGCACATGAACATGATCAGAATGGAATGGGAAGTCAGTGGAAGAGGTTTCCTTCCTGAATATAATGGTTTTACTAGGATCAAAATGAAATTATAAAAGTCTTATTTGTAGTGACATTTCAGTGTACTAGTTGCATTCCAAGAACAAATGGCATGAGTGTAATTCGTTCATATTTTGAGTAACTAGCAAAGGACTAATTACTACAGACCGATAACTATTTGCTGTGATCCTGAAACTACTCACTAGTTGGTAATGTTAAAAATAAAATAAAACAAAATAAGAGAACTCATTGAGGATCTGGTCAGTGTGATTTCTAGCTCATCCATGAGTATCTGTTACCTTCAGTGATGGCATGCTCCAAGTCAGTGAGCCTCAGTCTTCTCCATGCATAGAAAGAACATGAGGGTTGTAGCATACTTGAACCTGTACCAGTAGTGACTGGCTTTTGGTGGGGCTAGAGATATAGAGCTTTTAAAGATCTGAATGGTCTGTTTCATTTATTGTGTGCAAAATGCAAGAACAACTTAATATTTGTAAAGATATAATTAATCAGTTATGTGACAGTTCTATTAACATAGTAATAATAGAGACTGATGCAGAGGGGAGGACTATTAAAGAAGTCTTATTTGGACTCCACAACAGCCTAGAAATGAGGTAGGCATCATTCCCAGTTTTACAGATCAATATTCTAGGTGCCTCAAGATTCACTAGAAAGTAATAGAATTGGAATTTGAACCAAGGTCTCTTTAGCTCCAAAGCCCACGTCCTTAAAACTCAAGCCACTGTTTCTCAAGGTATCTCAGAGTCACCTGGATGCCTGTGCAAAATACACATTCTGTCATGGTTAGGATGCACTTCTCTCAATCACTTCTTCCTGCAAGTCACTGCTGGACAGGTGGGAGTACACTGCAGCCCTGTGTGTTTTGCATGGAGAAGGCTAAGGACCACTGATGTATAGCATGTCATCATTGAAAATAACAAATATTCATGGCCCTGCCTACCATGACAAAGGACAAGTCTACCACCAAGTCATTCATGCTAGCAATCAGTCATCATCACAGTATTGTCCCATCAGCTTTGAGCAGTCACTTCTAAGTTGGTTGAAATTTTTAGTAAAAATTAGTAGGCTACAAGCTAGTAATAAGATCGTGCAGGAGATGAGCCAGTGTATCTTTACTCAGAACCAACATGAGTTTGTTGGTTTAAGTCATTTCTGTGTGTTAATAAGACTTGGTAATCTTTCACTTTACAGCATATGACTAAGTAGTGATATATCTTTATTAAGCAGTGGAATACATTCTATTTATTTGGGATGTAAGCTTTCAGATAACATTTTAAATATTAATGACTGGTCTCTGGTAGTCAGCATAAATATGATTTGCATTAGCACTAGGTTGTATCATCTTGAGTGCCTCTGATGTCAACTGTGGGGTATAGTAATATCTGACATCATCTCCTTAGGTCACTGACAACTTTGACCTCTATTCTTATGCACAGTTTCTGTCGTCTCAAAAGCTCTTTTGAATTGATTTGAAATTTTGACTCTTCCCTTTATGAGGCAGTAAAATTGATAATTATTCAGATGGGAACTGAGCACTGAGTGAAAAATCAATTCCACCCGCTCTCTGCTGCGTATAAAATTACTTCTGAGTCTGCTGGACTGAACGGATGGCCAGAGTAAAAGCAGCAGGCAGGAGCAGTGGGAAGAATTAGCCGGACAGAGCTAATAGCCTGAAGGGATGGACCTGGAAAAGAGGGAGTGGGCCAGTTGGGGGTTATTATGAGCAGGGATGGGCCATTGATCATCTGTTTACATCAGCTTTCCAGGACCTTATAAATCAGCCCTGAAAGAGTGGCAGAGCCAAGATTCAGACTCTTACCAGAGGGACTTGTATTAGATTATTCTCATTTTCACACTCAGATGAAAAGTGAGCCATTGATTATTCATTGGTTGCCCATTAAATGATGTTTTTATAGATGATTTGCCTATCACAGAAGGTAATGAACAAGGTTGCTGCTTCATAACTCGAGGTTTCAGTTTTCAAGGCATCTGTGTCGTTAAGTAATGCCTAACCCTATTAAGAGGAATGGGTTACAAATTGCTTAACAGTGCTGAAAAACTAGACCCTAATGACTAATTGTGCCTGGAGTTTAGAGAGGGCTTGTCAGCTCTTTAAACTAAACTGATGCAATGATACTGCAATTATTTACTGGTTTGAACTGTTTTCCTCCCACCCTGGACATATTTGGCTAGAAGCGTAATTGCATGGGGAGTGTCAGTTCCAAACTGCAAACGTGATCTCAAGCTTCCGCAGAAAAAGAATGACCCTGGGTGAAGGGTTCGCAGCACCTTCTCAGGCCTTGTCACTTGTGTGCCGCCTCTCACCTGGAAGTGCATTTATTATGACCTGTCATGTGACTATAGATCTTCCACAGTTTGTGAACAGATGTAACTATGCAAGGACTAAAATTTATCCCATGTGAAGAGTCGTTGAATTTCAGTGAGTCTGTTTGAGGTGAGAATTGCTGCCTCTCAAGTATTCCTTCAACTTAACATCTGAGAAAAACCCAGTTTGCATAAATTAAGGGAGAAGAATTCAAGTATTTTTATGTCACTAGGAGAATGAACTAAAAACTTAAAAAGAGATGATCAGCAGGAGCAGTGGTCGGATTGCTAATCACCACTGATTAGTAATGGGTGAGAGTGATCTGCTGCAGGAATTTGGAGACAATGTTTATATATGATTTTTTTTCCGGTTTCGTTACTGGACATGTTATATATTTACATTCATAACCAGGAGATCAGCATTCATTCAGATACATGAAAAGACAAAAGCTGTACCCAAATTAGGTGAAGGTTTGCAGAATCGAGGGGCCATTTTAGAGACATGATGAATTCTTTTTGTAATGATAAGGGTACTGATGCGAAACTGCATCAGAACCTCCTTGAATGTTCTAGAGAGAGTAGCACCTTGTGCAGAAAAAGAGCAGTACCTATGGACTGCCTCTGTCACTGAGTGGATTGAGCAGTTAGCGTGTTGATGAGGTGGTTGCAGTCTTAGTCATGTCCAAACACAGTGCATAGGAGAACTAGAGTGACTCTTACCTGGTTGAGTCTAGCTAGCTATTTGGCTCAAGTCAGCTCTACTAAAAATGCAGAGAAATTCTAATTAAGACTTTCTCTTCCTCTCTTCTTTTTTATTTTATTTATTTATTTGTTTGTTTGTTTGGTAGCATGCCATTTAACTAGAAATTGTAAAGAGCTGTCAGGAGCTATAAGAATCATACTTCAGTATGAACATAAGCTAAAAGAACATTCACCCTTTTCCTCAATCAGTCAGTCAATCAATGAAAATTGCTTTTGTATAGTGCTCTTCATGACATGCATCCCAAAGTGAATTACAGCAAAAGGGAAATCATCTGCTCTTTTTTCATCTCTGTGTTTAGACTGAAATGATATTGCTCAACATTTTGACATACTACACAAGACATCTTTCATACTTAAGATTCCATTCCTTAATACTAAATAGGAGAAAATGCCAACACATACTTAACTGACGTTGAAGCTTTGGCCTATGGAACCTTAGCAGAAACACTTAAGCAAATGAAATAGATTTCTTATTTAACTCTTTAAAAATGATTAGCCATATTTTTTTAATATTAATGACTGTAGATTTTCTCAGAGCTCATTCAGCTCCTCTCTGTGCCCACTTTTCCTGTCCTCGTAGTTTTAGTAAGCTCCTATGCTTTTGACCTCATCTTCATCCTCGCCTTCATCCTGCATCTTTCTTTCCTTGCTCCTGGCTCTGAGAAAACTCTACAAATGAAATAATTTCTCATGATCCTTACATTGAAAAGGGGACCCTCCATTTGACCAGCTAGTTTGGGATGGTTGATTTACAACTGTGTTACTGGAAACATGGCAGTAGACTGGTACCAGAACAGGCAGAAAGAACATTCATAACTGGCCAAATGACTCAGAGGAAGCTAAGGGTGTGTCATTAGACACAGAGAATGGGAAAGAGGCACT